GTGTGCTCTTCCGATCTAAATTAACAGCGTCATCGCAATTATATAAAATTGCATATCAGTAGCTAGATACCAGCTCCAAACCATGCACTGCAAAAAATTTTAAAATAAAAATTTTATACTTTTGATTGATAATTTCAAGTTCTCTTAAGATCTTAATTAAACAGGTTTGTACCATTGAATCGACACCAAAGAAATTATTTATGTACAGAAAATTTCTCCACCAATACTTCGCGCAAGTTTCGTGCGACCTTTCATTCATGTAAAATTGCGAAGTTTTATCAAACCAAGCTGAGCTCAATTGTGATATTCCTAATACCATCATATAAGCCGGTGTCAATCTTAAAAATAAAATTTTTATTAATACACGTATACAAATAAGTTTCTGTTCAGTTTATATGTATATTAAAATTAAATTTTTCGTAGCATTTTCTCTCATTTTAAACTCTATTGCAATAATATTATTATAATTATTGCATTGTTTTTTTTTGTTTACATGGATCGAGATAAGGACAAAACATACCGAATAAATCTTTTGATTATGTAGATAAAGAATTCAATTAGTTTGTCTCTGCAATTAATCGGCTTAATTAACCTTTCGTTTGTTTTATCTTGCAAATACAAATAGGTCACCAAACATCCGCTTGAAAAAAAGAAAATATCGACTGCCATAATTGCAATGTCATGGAAATAAGCATAACTCTCCAAGAGTCTTACCATCCATATTTTATTGTCTATAAAATAATTTTCATTATTTATAGAAGATAAAAATCACTAGACTAAAACATATTTATTCCAGAGATGTACTTATTTTAAATTACTTACCAGTAGAATCCATTACATAATATACACCGTGCAACATAATTATGCCACACATGCTTAGGAATTTTAAACCATAAATAACGGGTATTGTGCCGGCATCTAATTTCGTGCTAAATATTTTTCTCGTATTTGTGTAAGCGGAGAAACATATGAGTATTTTATCAATTTTACTTTCCCGAACACTAAACGAATTTACTTCTGTTTCTCTTTTCAGGCCCTCGAATATGTTTTCAATGCCTGAATCATAATTCGGAGTCTAATAGTAATTTGCAATTTAGTAGTACGTACACGTAATATAAAAATAGTCAGATGAATGTCAAAATAATTTATACCTCCTACATTTTTATACTTTCTGGACATAACACTTACCGTCATTATTAGTTTTATTTATCTCATTTTTCTTTATACATATATGTTTTTGGAGCACAAATATATCACATAGTGTTCCGATTGTTGTCATAAGAAAAAAAAATCCGAAAGCAACACTACAAACGAAATATTTCTTTATTGAATCTTTATATTTTAAACAATTAAGATAAAAATTACTTTCATAGCATTATTGCATCTTTCATTATAAGTTATAATATTACTATTCTTATGTAGTAAATTTTTACATCTTTTGAGACGCAAAAAAATTTACTACATACAATGGAGACATACCAGATAAAAGGCAATGCACCACTAAATAACCATTCGTTATTATATTTTAGATCTTTAACCAGGATCAGCTGGAATTTCACAAAGTTGAAGTTATCGATTATGATAACTCTATCACGAAATATTGTTTCCAAAA